ACACACACACACACACACACACACACACACACACACACACACACTTTGAAGTACCAAGCAAATGCAACATTATTACCATTGTGACAAGAGACCTGACGTCTGGCAGGAAGGATTTGATCCCTTGAGCGTTCCATTATTCTGGGTAGACTGTACAAATTTAAACGCAGCAGCGATTTTTCTGCAAGGAAAACTGAAGTTTTAATCATAGCTCAGTGCTTATGATGTATATCAAACAAAGACACTTGACAAAGCATTTGTTGAACAATGAAATAGTTTGCACTTCATTTTTTTAAATGCTAATTTCCTTCTGAAATGAGGAAGTTGCGCTTAGTGAAGGGGCTTGGCCTTGTCATTTACAAATTTTGCCCAAGTTTCTTTTGTTTGTTTATTTACTATAAGTATCTTCTTGACAAGGTATGCTCTTAGCTATATTTATAAAATGATAGATAGCTAATGCAAACTATTGTTTACTTTAGAAACCTGTGTTTGGGCTTCTCCACAAATTTAAACTTTCCTTGGGCTGCTGTGGGTCTAAGCCAACTCTACGGTACCTAATAACGGCCACAGGTCTAGGGCGGATTTGGTGCAAGCTCAGCGCTTCTATCTGTCAGGCGAGGTCAACCCAATTCTTCGTATTGCTACCGTACTGATGCCCTAGCACACATGATAATGGTTTTTAGGCCATTGTACCCTGCTGGGATTTAAAGCATTTACCTGATTATATTGCGTTTGCCTAGGTATCTGAAATTTTGAAGGCAGACACTAGAAGGGAACAAAAACATGCTGAGTTCAATTATTCATACTTTTCTTTATTCAAACTGCTGTATGAATGTATGAAAAGTACTACATTTCCCTTAACCCTTTACTCGACTATTACTTCTAGATAGGTTACCCTACAGGTACTTCGAAGGAAGACTGGTATAATGAATTATTGTGAAGGTGCTAGGGCACAGGTTCCCAACCTGATTTGGCTCACTACCCCCTTTTCGGGAAAAAGAAAAAAAGAAAAGAAAAGACACAATTTACTGAGAATTCCCCTGGCCATTAAAAACTTTTGTACTCTTAGAGCCCAAAGCCAGGATAAAGTGTAGGCATCTAGTCTTGTGGCCCCACTGGGTGGTTCAGTTCTCCACCCCCACCCTCTCCCCACCCAGTGGTAGGATCCACTTTAAGAAACACTCTTCTAAGGACAAACTGTGGTTGAATGCACTCTGAAACTCACTCTAAGATGCTGAAGAAGTCGGATACCTCTGGACTGGGCGCTCGTTGCCAGTAGGCAACCAGAGTACCTGAAAGGAAACAGCACATTGCCTGAGACACAGTCATGCCCTAAGCGTTCTTCCTCTCTGATAAGTGATTCGGAAAGAGCGCTCTTTACCCTCTGAAATCGTTTTAATGATGTGAAGGAAACACATCAGGAGACTCCGGGTTTCTGCTTGATCTAACTTGTCAAATCGAAGCGTTGAGCCTATCAAAGACAAGGGTCTTGGGATCTACGGAGGTAAAGAAGCGAGAAGGATTGAGTTAGAGCCCGAGCCTTCTGACCTGTCGTGAGGATGGGCGAGTTTGCGCAGGAAGCTGTACCTTTTCACAGTTGTCATTCTTCTCACTGCTCTTTTCGGTGGTGCTTGGGTTGGAGTCCAGACTTGCTAAGGATGCTCTGGAATCAGCGTGGTTTACTGTAGAAATAGCTATTGATGAAAATGCTGCAAACACAAGCCACAGCGCACACATGGTAATGAGATGTATGAGTACCAAAAAGAAATAAATAAATACAATGATAAACCAAAAAAGGATGTTGATTATTGAGGTGCTCCAAGCACAGTGAAAGATTAACATGAGAATCCTAGACTAGAATTAAGAGAGACGTCTCCCTGCCCCACGCCCCATGGACAATACCTGATTAAAAGTAGAAAATGCAGAACAGAATTTCAGAGACTCCTGGAATCCCAACTTTATAGAGTCATGGGAGTTGGATGAACCTCAGAAACAATTGTCCTGAGATAATTCTTAAATCTTCAACTAAAAACTATCCCCTCAAGTTGTCTTTAAGCCAGACAACCTTTCATTTAATTAGTAAAGCAAGGTCTACGTTGAGCATTTTGTTTTTAACAGAACTATCCACATGGGATTAAACTGCCAAAAACACCTTGAAAAAGACTGGCAAGGGGGAAATGAGCTGACAGTCATCGGGAGGAAGCACTTTGAAAAGGAGTGTGACTGTGGTTGTCCAACTTGAATGACGCAGCCAAGGCCGCTGAACTGTATCTGCAGACACAGTGACCGTGGGGTGTGTTCTCTGTATCGTCTCAAACATGACAACTACAGAGTGAAATCAATCTTAAAAAGCTCTGGAGTGTGGTTGTGGTGCCAGCATTAATGACTTATGAAAACTTAGAGTGAGATGAAGGGAGGAGAAAAACCTCCAACAAAGTAATATTTGTTATTTTTCTTTCTTTTAAAATGAATACCTTTCGATAGATATAGTTCCTGTTTTACAAATGCCTTAATAAAAGTTCCTTCGCCTGCTTTGGGGGAAGAAGTTGCAACTGCGAGTAGTCTGTGAAAAGTTAAAGAGGCATTTCTAAAAAAAGTTCTTAAGAATAACTGTTGTTGTTGAAGAGCAATTCTGATTTTTAAAGTGGTTTGTAATAACAACTTAAAGACTGTCCAGAATGAAGCAATTAGGTTATGAAATTCCAGTAGATTGCTCCTAAAATCAAGTTTAAAGAAGAAGACGAGCTGCTAGAAGAAAGCTGGCTGCCATTCAAAGGAGTACGTCAATAGTACAACTTAGCTGTACAAAGGTGGAGCACTTTGCTGTAAAGGTTATTCGTGATGAATTATGGATAGGACAAAATGCACAATGATCTACAATGTAAACACAAATGGGTGTTGAACAAGAATATTCTCAGGAGCTCTCATGTACCTGCTATAGAATTTAAAACATCTTTAGAGAATGATGTATCCACTGAGTTGGCATGCTTCATAGCTGTCTGGATCGGAAAGCCTCCATTGGTGCTCAGGTCATCTCGAGATCCCTGTGTTCAAAGCATAGGAGAGATGGATGGCAGTTGCAACCCGTCACCATGGCAACTGAGGAGCGCAGTAGAAGCTATCTTTTAGATAGACTAACTGGCTGTCATGCTCGTTAATATATTCATGGATTATTTTAGATATTATTTTCCCAATTATACATTATTGTGACTAAAAACTAGATTTTAAATGCTTCTCACATGCCAATGAAATGTTCTTGAATTCCTATTCTTTGCATAGTTTGTTATGATCCACGCAGTCAGCTGCATTTTCATGATCATTAAAGCACAAGTAAACACCCTTCCATTTGGTTCTATTCTATTGAATGCAGAGTAGCTACATGCAAACGGACTCCATGGCACCTAAGGATGCCCCCAGCTAAGGCTTATGACAAACATTTCTTGTAAAACCATTTCACCTTTACATTTTATAAAGGAGGGCAGTGGACGCTGAAAGACAGTAGATAACTTATCCTAAAGTCACATAGCCAGTGACCAAAAGCTTGAGGATTGGGGGGGAAATCCAAAGCATAGCTCCTAACTGCTGATCGGTAATGTTTTCCATACTTGATTCAATATCACATGCATTTGTCTACGATTTGAAAACAGGCCACAGATCCCTAGTGGATGTTGTGTGGTCATTATGATATCTCCATGGAGCCCGTGTCAGGTCTGTGACTGTAAATAAAGCATGTGACTACGCTGACACCAGGTGGCATGAAGGCTGTGAAAAATGAAGAAGGAGTCCTGGATATAACAGGGCACCTGGTAAACCTAGATCGCTGAGGAAGGTGGGCAGAAAAGAGTTTTTAAAAACACTGGAGATATGGACTATGAGTGTGACAACCAAGAACAAGAGGTATTAATAGCTCATTTCCTAGAGAATATCTCACTTCCTAGAGAAATATGAATTCTGACTCTTCACACCCCTGTAGGTAAGAGTAGAGAAAACTGCCCCTTTGAGTTTCTGAGGCTGTAAACCTTTACCAGAGGAGAAAGCCTCATCTTTCTCCCAAGGAGCTCTTGGTAGGTTTGAACTGCTGACCTCCCAGTTAACAGCCTAAAGCATAACCCATGCATATGCCCCCAGGGTTCCTGGCACTGATGTACACATCTCAAAATACCTTGCAAGAGTGTCAATTAATTGCTAGCTTTCTTACAGTTGGGGGGAAATGATCCTCCAGGGAAAATATACAAAACAAGAAATACTGTTAAGATATCATTTTGAAATATGATACAAAGTTACCTGGTTAGATGTATTAACAGTAAAAGGATACAGGTCCTTCAGGTAAATCCTTGGCATATTGTCCAGAAGCATGCCATAGAGGGGCATATATAAACTTGCTATCTGGGCCTGTTTTTCCTGGGTGAAACAGTAGCCAAAAGAAATAATTTACATACAAATCAATAGGCTTGCAGGTTTTATATGCCTTTAATGCAGCGAGCCATTACACAGTGATTAGGGAAGGGAGACGGGGAGATCACTTACAGGCTCTCTGTATCGATCATCGAATGAATGCTTCGCCATCAGATTTTTTAGGACAGCTAACGCTAAGTGCCTGATATCTTGGTCTTCCTGCAGAGCAAAGCCAACTTCTCGCAGCAGAATTCCGATTAAGAAGTGTTTGCGGCAAAATTCATTTGTGACCGAATATTCAGGCATCTCTTTTGGAAGAGAGTAAAACAAAACAAAATAAAACCCCAAGTTATTTAAAATCAAATGATCTCTTCTATATGAATACACGCTTAGCAACCAACTACTATCAGCTCCTCCCACTACTAAGGCAGACTCAGTAATAATAATCTTTGTACAGAACTAAGATGTGTGTTATGTCCTTACTGAGTATTCAATAAGAGAGGTACATGTGCTGTGCATGGAAACATAAATGCAAATAACATATGATTTTAACAGTTACATTCTAGTGTTACTAGAGTGGGGAGGAGAAAAATATGTATTTTTTGGCCAGGAGTAATCACAAAATGTTAATCAGTGGAAGATTTTGAGATGAGCCTCAAAGATGGGTAGACTTTACACATGCATATATATTGTGTGTACGTACACACATATACATATTTAGAATAATCTGACCTGGAGTAAAGGTGGAAGTTCAGGAAGCTGGAGATCAGTGATCTAATTGGATTTATGATTAGTTAATTAAAGATCAAATGCTTCAGGCCAAAAATAGTCTTAGTGAAATAGTAATAGTTAGGGGGTCCCAAATGGGGAAAAACAAACAAACAAATAAAAAACTCGAACACCCAAACTAGGGCTAGAGAAAAAGTTTATCCACACCACCTTAACTATTTAATTTGTTTCAGGTAAACATAAAATAAAGTATATAAATGGTATAATCTTCGTATAGAAGACATATAATAAGATTAAGGTTATTAGTGTCATACATATGAAAATAACCTCAATCTTGCAAAGACAGTGCAACTCAGCTTTTGTATATCAAAAGAAATATACCATCAAAAATTAGTTACATTGAGTAATCACATCATTATAAATTTTTTAAAATCTCAAATGGTGAACAACAAACATGTAAGAATTCAAATTAGAGAATCATCAAATTGTCTGTGAAAAAGAGGAACGTTTAGGAAATCTTTGGGCTATCCTGAGTACATGATATTAAATACATGGTTTTTATTAGTACCTGAAAAATGAAAATTTGCAGACACAGCTAACAGCTCATTGGATTTCTCTGTATGAATCTTTACAGTCTAAATGCTACAATTATTACTACTTAGATCATGAAATATAAATACCATCACTTACCTGATGCATGTAACTCCTGCATTGATTCTGAAGGTGTCAAAGGATCTAGATTCCATGTAAACAAATGAAAAGTTGGAATAAATACAAACATCCACACACTTATTAAAAAATACACACCATTATACTCTTTAACTATTACATTTCAGCATGTATATATTGTTCTAAAATGTAAATGAACCCTTTCAATAATATTCCCTTGCTTTCCAAGAAGAAAGGTTTAGGTTGTTTATTAGCTTTTCTAAAAAAGTTATGCCAATAAACAGAACTAGTTTCATTCTTATCTTTCCACGTGAATACCTATTTTTAAAATTAGGAATTGCATGCCATGAAAAATATTGTAAATTTCACTTTTTACAACATCAGTTCCACAAATACATTAGCAAGTGCTTTAGCTAAGATTGACAACGAGCTAACAGCATCAAAGTAAACAAGCGCAAGCTCAGTTTTCTTTAGCATCTTAACCAGCTTAGCTCATCGAGAAATAACCTGGTGTCAGTTTAGGAAATAAAGCCAAATACAAACATAAAACAAACAAGATCAAAACATTTTCTTATTCAACACTGCATTTCGGATATATGTACTTTGTCGAAGTAGAAAGCCCTGTCTTTCTCCCGTTGAGTGGCCGTGGTTTGGGACTGCTGACCGTGCAGATCACAGCCCAGGGTGTAAGCACTCTACCAGCAGGGCTCCTTAGAACTGCGACAGGGACCATCGAAGACACAACAAACGGACAGCAACACAAGCAAACAACGTGGTCACTTTGCAGGAACTGAAGGTAGCTCTGGGAAGGACTACCTGGAATGTGTGCTGACCGTATGGGCAGGCACAGAGGGATAAAGTGTTCATGCTGACACACTTCTTGAAGAAAATCAAACTTGTACTGGCATAAGGTCTGAAAAAGAGACAAATGGAGTGACAATTATTTACACCCTAAGACAGTTCATAAAATTGTTTTTCAAGTCTGGACTTAAATCACGTCTGAAAAGAAGATGTTGCCATAAAAGGTTGCGTCCTTTCTGACGTGGTCAGTGTAGTTAGGGCGTCTAGTGTGGGAGGCAGATCAAGGTCTCTTCAGGGAATGAGCTCTTTGGAAAGAGGATTCTGCTGAGCCATGTGCTTTGCTTCATTTAGCTGGTGCGATCAGGACATGTGTACTCTGAGAAAAATGCTGCCTTGCCACATGTACAGCAGTTAGCAGCTGCCCGTGAGCAGCTTCTGAGTTGCCACGGCCCGTGGATGTCAGAGCACAAGTGGTCCAAGGGGCTGGCACTGGCTGCGCTGTGAGGCACGGATGGTCAGGGAGGGACCACATGTACAGAGCTCTAAAAGTACACCCAGCTAACGGATGGACCACGAAAACCAGTCTGTGATTCAGAGCAAAGAGCAACCACGGTGCACAAGCCCCAAGTAAGAAGAAGGATCTCACACCATGTTGTTCTGGAGGTTCACGATTTAATGCCGCCTTCTTCTTCCCTGCCCTTCCAACCAGGCTTGTTTTCCATCTAGTTTCGATGAGGAAAGCGCTACCTGTATCCCAGACATAGTTTAAGTAGCTGTCCTATTTGCCAAAAGAATTTACAGAATATATTACATTTGGGGAAAAAAGTAAGGGTCTTTTCTACTTCTATTTCTTCAGGTAAAAACACCACTGGGGCCCATGTGCATGGAAAGACAAGGCGCCTCCACGGACCGACCGTGAGCACACCGGCCGTGAAGGCATTTGCCAGGGGAGTCTGAGGTCCAGGAAGCCCTTCCCAGAGCACGTGCACCGCTCTTCACTAAAGGAGCTGGAGTCTGGGGAGGAAGAAGCCCCGAGGAAACCACCAAGCTATGGTGTCAAGGAATCTGGCATTCTTTAGGCTACAGGAAAACAGTTCATTTCTAAAACCTGCTGATTTCTCTGAGCACGGGTAAATAAGATGTATTCTTCATAAGTCATGATTATGTTTCTGAAGTTTCGGGTCACGTTCTGGAAATCGGCAGTGTGCACATGGCTTGGCACCATCTTGACAACTACGTCCTTGAGACCAGAAGGAAGCACAGTGCTCTGTGCTTCAGGATAATCGTTTCTATTTATGAGGCTATACGGATTTTAGTTTAGTGACGGTGTCATGGGGTCGTGGGGGTTCAGGGTTCAAAGGTTACTTCTGGACATCAGTTTGGGAGGTAGCCCCTCTCAGTGGATTCACAAATCTGCCTTCTATCAAAGTGTGAAGCTCTGTTCCACCCTGTTCCTTCTTCTGCTCAGGATCCATCTCTTAGGGCATCGATTAACACGTGGATGTGAATCTTAAGCAATGTCTGAAAAGGGAGACCTTGATCCCAGTTGATTAGTGTAAGCAGCAGAAACACCCTGGTTTCTTCTTGGGGATTGCTTCTGTGTTCTGGAAGGGACTTGCCTCCTGCACTTTTCCCAGCCTGGCTCTACACCTATGTCATAAATCGTGATATTTTCTCCCCACACCCTTCCAATAAGTCGCCCTTTTCTCACACGGTGGTCAGTTTCTGTTATTTTCAACCCCAAAGGACCTTCGCCTGTTTTCTGTGGTCTTTGCTGCCCTGTACTCGTTTATATGTTTATTTGTAAGGGGGAGCAGGATGGGTGGAAGTGAAAAGAAAGCGGCTGGGTCGATGGTTGCCTGGAGGCATGGGAGGGGTGCGCTCAAGACCGAAGAGAAGGTTCCCAAGTTGGCTGTGCTGAGGTCTGCACAGGCCTTCTTAGGAGAACTAACAATCGTATGACATGTCAATTTATAGCCCAATAAAATTCAAAAGAAACACAAGAACCTTAACTGACAAATCAATGAATTGTATGATATGTTCATTATAGCCCAATAAAATTCAAAAGAAAACACCAAAAAAAAAAAAGGACTCTGACAATTTTCATGATCTGCCCCATTTCCAGAATTACTTTATAACATGTGCAATTCTATAGTTGAGTAGTTCTCAGACTCAAGCATGCACGGGAATCTCCAGAAAGCCCGGCAGAGATGCAGATGTCTAGGCCCAGTAGCTGTTACCAGGCAATGGCAGTGTACTGGTCTACCAGCTACACGGTGCGAACAGCTGCGCTGGGTTCACCGTGCCCTCACAAGATCTCATGCACCCCCTCCCTGGGGAGGGTCACCAACAATCCCAGCTTTCCCATCACGGAGAGGTTTCCAGGGAAGTGAGACTTCCAAGTTGAAAAACAAAGACAGTCCCTGGCACACCGCAGTAGGACTAAATAATCTGTCGCTGACAAGAGTCATTTTTTTCATGGGCCACAGGAAACAGAAATGGGGATCTATCTATCCCACTCTCTTCCTCCCCGGCCGTGGGAGAGTCTGGAAACAAGAGCATTCCCAGCGGATGCGCCATTTACAAGTTTCCATCAGATTGTTGGCATATTTATAAAGGAGTCGGCTAAGGTCAAACGCTGATACCTACCTAGAGCAGTTCCTTTCTGCACAGCATCATGGGTAAGGAAACAAGGAGCCCTCTGCCTGGCTCTTACCTTTAGGTCACCCGAGGAGAACATGCTGACGTAATTGTTCACCATCTTAAACACAAAGCCACGATCCATGAACGTAAAGCAGCGCTGCAAATGGACAAGAGTTGAAGTTCACACGCGTTTTCATTATTTATGAATAATTCAGTCACAGACCAGTGTGTGTTACAGTAGAACTATGCCCTAAGCTGTAAGTCTTTACATAGGCAGACTGCTTCATCGTTCCAATGGACCAGCTAGTGGGTTCGAACAGTTGACCTTGTGGTTAGCGGCCCAACTTACAACACATAAACAAGGGCAAGGCTCTTGTTCCCATACTGATCTGGATATACAGTAGAATTACAGGTACCTATTTGTTTTCTTTTTTTCTTATATCACATCTTTTCCCTTAACCCTAACTATCTCTTTCACTTCCTACAGGTGAGGCAGAAGCAATAAAAGGGATAAAAACATCGAAGGAAAGAGCTTACATTCAAGCTGAGAAGAAATATAGCATAACATCTGAAAATGTTTAACCAATTAAAAAAGAAATTTGTGTGGGTTGAAGCTCCCCCAAAATGAGTCAGATTGATTTCCACCTCCCTCCATCATTTCTTAACTTTATATAATTAGCATTTATTTCATACCCACCCAGGATCTCCCATAAAGGAACAAGTTCCAGGTTACAGTTTTCAAGAGTTAGACAAAAGAAGGAGAGGAAAAGAAGCATTATTGTTTTTCATAGAGCACATTTATTTGAGCATATTAAATGATACCAGAATTCTGCACATTAGCTTTTTAATTTTGATTCTGCACTTTTTCTCTTCAAATTGAATGCTTGTAACCAAAGAAATATAACTAAGTTCCATAAGATCTAGTTTAGTAAGAAGCTGCTCAGTATTTTAATCAGTAATTTTCCTTTCATGTGTTCAGTGCATTAGCTTTTCATTCTATAAACAGGAGCGCAGATGAAATAGCAAAAACAGTAAATTCTCAGATGATTGTCCTAAAGTGACTATTTGGCATCCAATTTGATATCTGATGTTACTTTGAAGAGACAGTTAAGCTAATGATATTGCTCCAGTGCAGCTTCTCCTTTAAGCCATAGAATTTCTTTTGCTAGTTTCCTTTAAAAACATTTATACGCACTATGACTTGATAATACTGAAACAACAAATTTTATATAACTTTCACCTTTCTTCTGTTAGCCTCCCAAATAGGAAAAATAGATGGAAAATATTTCAAGCATGGAAGAGGAACAGATGAACATAATCACCTAACAGGGTTGGTTTCGACTCTTCATCATAAATAAATGTGTCAAACACCGTATCCACTGTATCTGAGGCTCAAATACAACTGTTCCCTCACAGAACCCTACCTTAAGAAACCTGGCAACGCTGTGATTGGCCCTTCTTGTCTCTTCAATGGAGTTGTTGCATTTCCATATCACGTGGTCAGATAAGACCATGACAAGAGTATCCAATTCATGTTGGTAAGATTCAGGAAATCGTTGAGCCCGTGGAAGCTAAGGAAAGAATGCGTTGTTTCTTTATACTATGCTACTTAAAACATTAAGCCTTGGACATTAAAAACCCTAGGATAATTATTTCATTTCATATATTGTCAAATAAAAAGAGTCCTGGAGAAAACTGCAAAGCAAGAGTAAGATGGAAGGGCATTTTAATTTTGAGGTCATAATCTCCATCATCTTCATTTGCTTTCCAATTGTATTGTGCTCAATATATTTTATAAAAGTAAACTATAACATGTTAGAAATTATTCAAGCACTATAGATGTGTACAAAGTAGAATGTGAGCATTTTCTATGAACTCCATCAACTTAATTTTTCTCCCTATTCTCATAGGAAATGACTACTATTAATGGGCTGATGAATATTATCTCACGTGTTTTTAGGAGTATATTAATTTTCTGTTTACATTAGTCATCAATTATTGTGATGCCTTTGCTCAGAACGTTCAGTAAGGCACTAGAATACATCAGTGGATTAAGAATGGAATGAGTTTAAGCACTGGTTGAAGTGTTATCTAGTGAGGGTGAGTTCCAGCTTATCCTAAAGCCATGGTCCCAGCACAGTTAGCTGGTGCCAGGGGATATATCCTATTCAAGTTACTTTGGATATGATTCAGAACCGCTTGATGGAGAGATTATATAATTGTCATTGGCTCTATCCGCTGAGAAAATTACAAATATGAAAACCAGGTGCCATAAGTCAACTCTGCAGCCTTGTATGGGTCAAAGCAGAACTGTGCTCCAAAGGATTTTAAGGCTGGGATTTTGGGGAAGTATATCACAAGGCTCTTCTGTCCAGGTGCTCTGAAAGAACTCGACCCTGAAGTCTTTCAGTAAGCAGTTGAGCATGATACAAGTTTATACCATCCAAGGACTTCCTTCCTGAGGGAACTCTCTGAGCCCAAGAATCTACTCTGGTTTGGACTCCTGCAAGAGGCTGAATTTTCCAACTCAATCTCCACTTGGGGAGATTACATTGCCCCTTTTCCCCAGACAGAAATAATTCATTCATCGATATAAGTTGCCTTTAAAACTCAGACCCAAATACGTTTTCACTCTCTAGAGAATCGCAAAATTTTGAGTTAGACTGAGCTTCAAATTTCTTAAATTCAGAGTATCCAACCAACAGTCATCAGGCATAAAAACCATGAAGGTGGAAGTTATAGGAGCTATACAAAACAAAACAACAAATTCTGTAATGTATGAGCGGCGGATGGATTTACCATCAATAAGGTTGGTTTATCAGGATATCACTGTATAGGCAATTTGAGACTCTTATTCCCTTCCTGTGCATGTATTTAAAATGTATTTATTGAAATCAAGTCAAATTAAAAACAAACACAAGGGTGAAAAGTTCAGAGAAAAATTCTGTGATGTTTTAATTCCACCTTTTTCATGAATGTTTTTGAAGTTTGCTCATAAACCAGACCAACTTAATAGTAGATTTCATTTCACACCAAAGAATATTCTTCCCATTCAAATATCAATTGATATAGAGGGTGCCAGAGAGTAAGGAGAGTTTGGAGCAGGAAAGGGCTCAGAGGCAGGTTTAAGGTGCAGGGCAAAATTCCTGTCACTTGGTCTCCATAACTGTGGCGATCCTCTGGGACTAGAGGGATTGGCGATGGAAAAAGGTGTCACCAGGAATTTTGGCAAGCCCCACGGGAACAATAGCAATGCCAGGCCCTGGAGTTCTAGATTTAGACCATGTTTTCTATAGTGAAAATTTAGCTATCTCTTCATACATAGCTCTTAGTAGGTTACAAGGGCTAAGAAGAGACAGAATGCTTGATAATGGGCCCCGTGTGACCATGCATCTGCAAGTTTCCAGCATGGGCTCTGCATTTTGTCATTCCCCCGCCCGGTCCCCACTCATGGTGCTGAATGTACTTAGTAGGTTAATGAAGGTGAACATATCCATTTGCTATCAAGCCCAAGTAAGGCGGCTGTTGGCAACCATCCTGTTGATTTTGTGACTCATAGTGATGCTGTGTGACACAGGAGAACTGCCCCCTCGAGTTTTCTAGACTGTAATCTTTATGGGATCAGAGTTCGGAGTCTTTCTTCCATGTAGCTGCTGGGGAGGTCAAACTGTCAACCTGTGATTTAGCAGGCAAGGACTTGGCCGCTGTGCTAAGTGCCACCAGGGCATGTTATTGTTGTTGGGTGCCATTGAGTTGATTCTCACTCATAGCAACCTATAGGATAGAACAGAACTTCTCAGTAGGGTTTCCCATATTGTCATCTTTATGCGAGTAGGTCCCTAGGTCTTGGCTCCTATAGTGCCATCAGTGGACGTGAACTGCCAACATGTTTGTTATCAGATGAGCACTTGACCACTGCATCACCAAGGCCTAGGTAGGTATCCCAGACCCTCAGGGCATCCACTATTTGCACAGTTACTCTTTCTACTTGGACCTATGGCCTTATGGGTGGGCGAGCACCCCTTATGATTTGCTGAACAAGAAAAGTCCATGTTTTGTTGAGATGGATTGGATTGATCTAGAGTAGCAAGTTGAAAATGGACAGCAACTGAGTTACAGCAACTCTCAGAAGCGACCCAACGAGCAGTGTACTTGGTTAGCCCTCTAGTATAAAAAAATAAATGGCTCAAGCTAAGCATATATAAGGGCTCCCAGCTAGTGACCAATGACCTGGCTTCCATGTCTGAAGATGGGAAAGGAGGCAAGGAAGGTTGGGATATACAGGAGTGGGAACAAAGTGTGAAGAGGTCTGTACTGCAGAGAGGAGAGGTGAGGGCGAGGGAAGCCACGAATGGTTCATATTTGCGGGCAATGGTGAGCTCCACGTAGAGTCCTGAGACCAACTGCAGTGATTGCAGAAGCTGCTTATTCCACTTCTCTACCTCCTCTAAGTTCCCTTCCGTAAGAGAGAGGCCTATGGGGAATGTGGAGGAAGAACAGATGCCCCAATTGTTCACTATGTGATGCCAAGTGTGGCAGCTGGGGGTGTGCACAGGTCAGATGATCCAAGGCAGAATCTTCTGTGAAGGGTGTCATTAGCTTCCATAGCACAGGGAGCCTGCTAATGTTCATGCCCAGGCCTCTTTCTCCAGACTGCTCCCATCAATGGAGAAACACGTGGGATTGAGAGCCAGGCTGTTTCTACCCAACACAAGGCTCCTCTGTGCACATCTTTTGCTCTCAGGCTGACCATTAACGGGTCTAGCTCAAAGTATCCTTACTAGGGGGTAAGCCCTCCTCCCAGGCCCCTTCCGTTCAAGGTGTCAGACCTTCCTAATTCTTCTTTCCTGTCCCCTTTATTCTACCCTGCCGCCTCTCCCAATAAAGCTTTCTCACTTCTATTTTGGTCTTGACATCCAACTCAGAAGGACTAACACATTTCCCTTAAATACATAAAGCTTTGAAAGGAATGGCTACAGTGAACAAGGTCAATAACAATGGAGGCAGGACATGTGGATTCATTAGCATAATTGATAGAACAATATGGTTACCTCTGCTCTTACCTGGATTTTATTTGTGTCAATCAAGTGCTGTGCCATTGATTTTAGGATAACTGCAAAGAAGAACCAGGAATGCTGGGAAAGGGGTGGGGGGGAAAAGGTAAAAATTTATGAGGCAACAATATCATGCCAATTCACTTCTTCGCAATCTGCAATATTATATGCCACTCTTAACATGTCTTTTGTAAAACTCATGATCAGGACCATAATAATTTTCTCCAATGTGGTAGGAGGCGATGTATTAAATCTCCAATGATGATGTATTACATCTTCCAAGACGAAGGCGAGAGACTTCAGTGCTTCAGTTGCCTTTTAAAAATGTTTAAATTAAACAAAGTGGTACATTATTCAACATGGCTGATGATGCGTCCCTCAAATTTGCCTTGTAATTCCTAACCCATTTGGAAATTGGTTGCCTTTGTTGAGTGAATGTGGTAGGATCAATGTATTTTTATATCCTCGAGTTTCAATCAGACTCTTCTATAAGAAACTACAAGAGAAATGATCTAGGAAAATCAATTAAACCTATCACCTTCCAAGTGTGCATGTGAGCGATACCTAGTTTAAACAAATAAATGACCACCTCTGCTTTTAGTCACAACAATGCACCCAAATAGCCAACAATGGACACCCCAAAGCTGCAGCAATGGGCAGAAACAAGCCAAGGTCATGCAGGCAGTACCCCCGGACTGGGTCGCGTTTCTTTCTGTTATAAACGAGGCCCCCAGGAGTCAGAGCCAATTCAAGTAAATTAACAGCAACTGCATTTTTTTTTTTTTTTACCTTCAGGACATGCTTTATGACTGTGGAGTCATTTGATTTCAAAAGGCCGGTCACATTTTTAGCCAGTTCCTCATGGATGGTTCTCTCCTTGTACGTCCTGGTCTTGAACACGAACTGAAGGAAATCCAAAATCTCAGTGACGTTGTATGATATTTTTCGGCTTGTCATCAAAAACTGGTACACTAATGATGCATTTCTCAAAATGACCCGCTCATGCCAGATTTTATCAGGAAATAAATAAAGACCCATTTTTAAGAGTAGGGCCCAGCTGTGCCTATTTGTACTTTACACCGCTAGGACCTTGTGTGCCTGAGCTCTCCTTGAAACGCTTGTCATAGACATTGAGAGAAAAAGTCAGAAGAGATCAAGTCAGCGTGCTCAAGGAAACATGGAGAGCTATGACCCACCTACTATTAGGACACATTTTCCCTGCTCCTTCCACTCGGAGTAGCAATTCTTCATCCTGAAAGGGGCCGAGCACCCACTCAAATAGCCAAGTGGGGAAAGCAGGTACCTTCCAGAGGCCAGCACGGAGTTCACCGACAAGCCCAGTGTCTACCGTCTCAGGCTTAGAAACACCTATCAAGGATTCCATGACCAGCGTGGTTGCTGAGATAACAAATGGTGTTCAGTTTTTGGCCCCAAAGATAAGTTTTGAGTGCCTGCCATGGCTTCAGTTTTCGGTATTTCTACTTATCATTAAGGACACCAAGATCAATGTATGCACATACACAGGTTTCAAATATAATGTGCTTGTTTGGAATGATATACGTTTACTGGTTCATATCAAGGAAGGGAATTTCTTCATAATTCGGAATTCAAAGTAATTAAGAGTGATGGCAGGTAAGAAACTCACTCAAAACACAAAGGACATTCCGCTTGGATCTAGAACCGGTTCTTTGCGCTTTCTAATGCATGGGTATCTGAATCACCCTGATGGGGTCCCAGCTTCTCCAAACTCATCCCGGAGCAGGGCAAAGCAAATGGACACATGAGACTAACTAAAATCAAAGAGCAATGCGATGTTCTCCCAACTGTGACTTGTGAAAATAAATGCATCCTCAACCATCTAATCCTACGCACGGTCACTAAACCTCAAAGGCATTTTAACTAGTTTCCAGTATATTTTTAGCTTTAACCTTTGGCTAGCACATATCAGTGTCACAAATCCCTGGAAACCATGACACAAGTACATTGACTTCAGACAAACAACGAGGAAAAAGACAGTGCCAGTGTGCAGTTTGGGTACTGTTGATGGGGTGAGTCGGCATCTAGCGTCACTGAACTTGAAATGGTGTTTATCATAACTGAATAAACATCAATTCTCCTTAATATCACATCTTTGAAGGACACAAAAGCATATTTAGTTCCAGTTCATCCATTTTCATTATACTGCTAAGTGGGTAGTTGGTGGAGAGCTTCATATCTATCTGTATAATTATTTTTCCCAACTTGGCTTAAAAAAAAATCAAAGTCCTTGGTCAAAGTCAGAGTATGTACCATGTACTATAACAGTTGTCTAATCACAGAATCCTAGTCCTTTCATGGGATCCACTGAGCCATCTCATTGCTTAAGCTAATTATTTAAACTTGGCCTAGCATAATTCACAATAAAATTTATAAAAAATAACCCCGGGGAATATTAAAAGCTTGAAATTTGCATGGGTAAAATTCTTGATTTGAACCACTTCAAAGTCAATCAAATAAATAAATCCTTATGTTAAAGATAAAAAGGATCCCTGGTGGTACAGTGTGCTAAACATTGGGCTTCTAGCTTATCAGTTGGTGGTTCAACTCCACTCACAGCTACATGGTTGAAAGATGAGGCTGGCTGCTTAATACAGATTTACCAACTTGATTATTCTGGGAATCCCTAGCAGTCCTTTGGGTTACTATAAATCAGAAGCAATTCAACGACACAGGGTTTGATTTTTTGGCTTTTAAATATTTAACTAATATCCTTGTCACGATATCTTAGAGCTCCCAGTTAAAAATAAAGGCTTTACCAGGCTGGGTTTCCAAAATGTCTCATCATGAACATCAAGGATAGCATGTCTGCAAGCCAATTTGAGATGCTATCGGGCTTAGCTTTGGCTCTCATAAAAACAGTCAAGATGCCAAAGGGCTTTTAATATGATTTTCAATGATTCCACTGGAAAGAAGTAAATCATGCATCTATTGATAAAGTGAGGTACTAGAGTGTAAGATTGAGAATGCTTGCTGTGGATGTTTTATTTTCTCTGTTTTCCTTTTCAGTCACCTTTCGAGAGTGAATTGAAAACGTAATACAAGCATGGAGAAGGTGAAAGCTCTCCAGCTGAATCTATGGGAAGTGAAGTCATCAATAAACGAGAATGCAAGCTATGGCCCCACTTTAAACAGAGAGCAAACCAAAAGGCCTTTGTCGGTGGCATTGACTTTCTGCAATTGATAGGTCCTAAATTACCCTTTAGCTAAATTAGTGGGCAAAATTTTACCAAAGTTAAAGTATTGCTTAGTAACTGATTAACACTGACAGGCTGGGTTATTTTAGAGAAGGGCCCACACTCACACTTGGGCATTTGGGAAGATATTTGCAATTTCTCACAGGTAGATAAATACATAGAAATAACATTCTCATGGGAAAAACCCTATTAGATAGGGTTATAAAGGATTGATTCCACAATTCAAGTAGCCTCAGGAGCTTATTAGAGGTTTCTAGCATAACAGATCCAAATTCTTCTCGAGTCACCGTTCTACTTTTCTAGAACCTGTGAGACTTTCCTTTAACAACATAAATACTAGAAGGCTATGTGTCAAAAAATTTTAGTTTTTTCATACAAAATTAAAATGTAGGACCTCTGAATCTTAGAAAGGGTGTCTTGGGTGATGCAAAGGGTTAATGTGCTCACGTACTAATCAAATGGTTGGAGGGTTGAGACCACTCAGAAGTGCCTCAGAAGAAAGAACTGGCGATCTTTTCCCCCAAATTCAGCCCTTGGGAACCTAATGGAGCACAAGTCTACTCGGACACCATTGGGTCCCTATGTGTCCAAATCACTTGAGAGGCTACTGGATCTGGGTGTTCACATTAGGAACTAATTTGAGATGCTGCCATGGATCTCAGGTTAGCTAATTTCAATGCATTCCAGAAGAGGATCTTTCGGCAGGGACTTTGAATAGGCAAACATCATCACAAGTTCACTGGCACGAATGGAAACAGAAACATGTCTGAGGCAACACTGGAAGAAGCAGTGCACGCTGACGGGATGGATGGGCAAGTGCTTCATGCCACAAGGTAAAAGGCTTCACATACCAGAAGCAGGTACAAATATACAGTAACTGGGGAAATGAAAGGATGCCTATGAAAACAATAAAGAGAGCTAAGAAAAGGTTACGGAAGAAACAGAGAGCATTCAAAAAATCAACAGGGATAAAAATCCTTCCTTAAGTTCACACAGGAATTTCATTCGCTTGGAAGGCTGACTTCAAATGGAAAACCCTCATTGTCTCCTCTTCTCTCCTCTCTGCCCCCTACTTAGTCATTCACATATTTACACATGATTAATACCGTTAATGAATACATCCTGCCGATTTCGGTGAAGAGATGGGAGGCTAAGGAGCTAAAGGGCTTGGTCAGGGGTCTGGGTGGCACACGTAGTGTACACTCAACTAATAACCTAAGGTTGATTTGGATCTGCCCGTAGACACCATGGAAGAAATGCCTGGTGACCAGGTTCTGTAAAGATTATAGTCAAAAGGCTTCTTGTAGAGCACTTCGATGCCACGAGTCAGATTCAGCTCGAAGGCAATGGATGGTTTTGTTTCATTTCTTTTAAAGGGGAATGCTTCACACCACTGCAGTGGGCACCATTCAGCTAAAGGGAGAAACGTATCACCTACTAAGGACAGAAGATGAGACAAGCCACACAGTGCATGGGGACAGGGCCAAAGGCCAAGTGGCCATTCCATACCTTTATGTAGGACTGCACAGAGGGTTCCTGCTGCTCTTCGTGACACTTGGCCACAATGTCAGTCAGAACCCTGGTGCGCAAAATAAAGAAATCAACCTTTAGAGAGCTCCCACAGAAGGCAGCTAGGAAACCCCATCGAGTCAGCCTCTGGGCAGTTGATTCCCTAGCCTCTAGTTGAACAACTACAGTCCATGCTGTCTGTCATTCAGTTACTCACAATTACTGATTCCCAGTCAGTCAGTCAGTCAGTCAGTCAGTCAGTCAGTCAGTCAGTCAGTCAGTCACTCACTCACTCACTCACTCACTCAATCAATTGCAAACCGCCCTACCTACATCCATGACTTTAATTACCTATCATACCTACTTGCCATGTAAACCTGGCACTTCAAAGCCTGGCAGTCTAGAGTGTCCTTTGGCTGCAAGAAGACAATGGAAACTCTATGTCTGGGTTCAATGTTCTGATGATGCTCTGTGAGTTTGTTTATGTCATCTTTTAGAACAGGGACCCAATCGAGTGGCCTGATTACACACTATAAACCCTACACCTCTGATTAATCATCACGTTCCCTTTGACAGGAGCTTGCCTGCCAACTAATGGGCACAGCATATGATTTTAGAAAAAGCAGTAAGGTTGAGAAGTAATCCTGCCCCCTGTCCTCCCCCACCCTCATTTTTACACTGGATCAGGGGTTCTAGAAGCAGTGCTGGTATGGGATGACGTTTTTATCTCATGGGTACTGCTGCTGCCCCATTAGGAATCTCTCCAAATATTGCCAGATCTAATGGCTGATACATTCTGGAGCCATGTCATTGAAGACACACACAGTCTTGCTGAAATGAGTATCTGTGAGAAGCACAGGGGGAGGCTTCTCCTGGGTCCAGAACCTGGGAGGACCTTTATAAATTCTTCAGTCTCCCAGTACTTAAGAAGCTTTCCTTTAAAGTTTAACATACAAAACTGAGCCATGGTCCAAAAGAGGGACATGGTATAGCTGTGGGTTAGTAAAGTATTGAGAAGAACTTCAATAGTCAGGGTAATATTTTGCTTCATCATGTCCGCCCCCCCCTGGTTAATAGGACTAATACATTTTCTAAATATGTACTATATGATTTAGTTAATTCAGAACCCTCTCTCTATAAAGGAGAAACTGTACCCTCAAGTCACCATCCAGATTAATAACAACAGAATTTAACTCGCGTAGTTAAATAAAATCTGAATATTGAAAGAAAGGTCGGAAGGAAATATAAAACGGCATAGCCACTTTGGAAAAGAGTTTTATTTTTTTCACTTTCTTAAAAGCAATGAAATGAAGCATGTAACTATGACTTGATCCAATAATTGTCTCCTGGGCATTTATTTCAGAGAAATTTAAGTGTGTGGTCATACAGAAACCCAGACACAAATATGCATAGCACATTTTATTCCTCAGAGCCAAAGCTAGGTGTCCTTCACTGGGCAGACTGGTTAGGCAAAGTGGGGTAACCGTGCAGTGCTACTTCCCACTCTAAAGGAAGGGACTCTGGATACAACAGCCTGGATGAATCTCTAAGTAAGCAGGCTGAGAAGAAAAAGTAAATTCTCAAAGAGTGCATTACTATCTTACTCCAGTTAGAGAGCATTTTGAAATGACAAAATGATAGCCCTGGAGTACAGAGCAGCAGTGTCCAGGGGTTGGGGAGGGAGTGGATCAAGAGGGATGATGGGGGAAGGGAGATGGTGAGATTCTAAAAGGTCCAGCAGAGACAGATCCTCGTGGTGATGCTACCGCTCTTCTCTTGCTTCTCTCAATGTCGAAAGATAGTTTTCCAAATTAGGGAGAAGGGGGTAAAAGTCCTCGAGAAGTCTCTGAACTATTTCTTAGAGATGAACATGAATTTACAATTATCTTCAAATAAAAGTTTCATTAAAGGACCCAATGGAAAAGTTAAACAAAGAGTTCTAGATCTGAGGTCTTGATCTTCAATGCTTATAACAGATAATTATATAAGTATGTAATCAGAAAATTATAACAGATACTTATATAATTACCTAATTATCTCATTTTAATTAGATTTAAGTGTAACAAAATACTTAAACTTAAGCCATGTATTCAAATGACATAAACATACATATTATTAGACTATATGGCTTAGTTTTACTTGATGCTTTGTGAACCACTGGTTATAAAACCGATTTTCTTAATGATGTCCTAGGAATACCTGGTCACAGGTGTACTTATTTCATCTTCCTCATTCTGTACCAGGACCTTGAAGAGCTGATTCAAGATGATAGGCAGAAAACTCATGATTGCATGAATCTTTTCCACATTCAATAAATTCTATGTAAGTGAGAAATGAAAACAAACAATACAAATGGTGATTAAATCGAAAACCTGATTTTCTTCCGTTTTTCAGAACTCAAATACACATACAAACATAAAGAAGATGCGATCAAGTTAATTCCAACTCAAGGCAGCCCATATGGATCAGTGTTGAATTGAGCTCCATGGGGTTTTCAAGGGTGTATTTTTTCAGTAATAAACTGCTAGGTGTTTCTCCAGAGGCACGTCTTTGTGGACTTAGAAATTGAGTGTTTTAACAGTTTGCGCCACCCAGGCATTCCCCGGGTCCTGTAATCACTGCCATAGAGTCAGTTCTGACCCATAGCAACCCTGTCTGGCAGAAGCGTAACTGCCCTTCTGGGTTTCTGAGGCCGTAATCTGTACTGGAGCTCAAAGATTTATTTTAATCCTGAGGAGCAGCTGGTGGATTTGAACCACCAACCTGTGGTAGGAATCCAACACATAGCCCAATACACCACCAGGGATCCGTTGGGTACTGTCAAAACAGAAAACCAAACTCACGGCCATCGGGCTGATTCCAACTCATAACGACCCTACCGCACAGGGTAGAACTGCCCCTGCGGGTTTCCGAGACTGCGATTCTATGGGAAGAGAAAGCCTCATCTTTCTCCCATGGGGGAGTTGGCGGTTTGGAACTGCTGACCTTGCAGCCCAATGTGTAACCACTACCAGTGCTCCTGCTGGGTACTGTATCTGGCCTTTATTTATCTCCTTAGCATTTAGCCTGGCAGAGAGGTATGGCAGCAATAAAGCAAAGACTCTTCTTTTGACTAATTTCAAACCCCCGGATTTAATTTTATTTTGGTTAATAAAATTACCAAACAAATGGATCTTTGTTCATTTTTGCCACTGACAGAAACTATTTCTGGAATTGTGAAATAAAACCATTTTCTTTCTAAATCAATACGGGAGCTGGAAATCTTCAGTAATTTTAACATTTGCTTTGCCCCTCATTTCTATCTGGGAAACCACAGAAACAACTTCTCGGATTACCTTACAAGAGCGGACGAAATTCGAGGAAGGGGACCGAGACATATCTTTCTCTCTTTTTTGGCACTGTTTAAAAAATGTGTTCACGTGTGGATCCTAAAACGAGAAAAAGAAAAAACAAGAAGGAAAGTATATCTGGTGATACATGAACTTTGTTACAATTGCCAAGATGGGCTGGACGCAAGCAGCTCTTAAACAGAGATGCCTCCTATTCCATGAGCAAGAGTGTCCACCTTCTTCTCACCAGATGTTGTGGCTTTCTGAAGTTTCAACCCGAACTACCAAGCTCATTTCCCTCCTCTGTCATTCCCACGGGCTTTATTTTCCTTCTCAACCACATGACAGTGACTTTCATCGCCAGCTTTGCTGATACCCCAGTTAACTGGTGAGGTTCACCACACAGAGGAAGCTTACCAGTCTGTGTGCTAGACCGGATGCTGATAGACCCTGAATTTATCGGGTAGGAGAGGATAGGATGCACCCACCTGAGTATTCACTGTTGATACAACAAATGTTGATACTTTGAAAAGTGGTTTGCCACCATCAACCCATTTAATGTCACTTGTACTCTGCTGCTGCTGCTGCTGCTGCTGCTGCAAAAAAGAGTTACTGTCACTATAGCAATTGGAAGGAAAGAAACTTAGCAGGTTACCTAGTCTGATGTTAATTTTCTGTTCCGACCCCTCAATTTTATGTTTCCAGGGAAGTGAAAACTCTGACGGAACTTGAAAAGGCTCGTGGGGGGAAAAAAGCCCATGGTCTTTCATTTCCATTTTCCACAAACTTTTGGAAACCCCCTCATAAAAGGTGCCGATGCATGTGATTGCATGGGGCAACAAGACCAACTGTTGCTAGCAGAGAGCCGTTTTTGAACAGGTCATGTCCAATAGCCATACGGTCAAGAAAAGCTTGGGAAGAGTATAGGCACCCTGGAGTTATCACTACACTGGACACCCAGCCTTGGACCAGAGTGTTCATCCAAATGGCAGAAAGAAAGCACTTCGTGTCAGGTGCTGCTGCGTCAGTGGGTGCTTAGGAGGCATTTTTGACTAATGGTGACCCCGTGTGATGAGGAGAACTACCCCACTGGGTTTCTCAAGCTGTCATCTCCAGGGGAGCAGATCACTCTGTCTCTTCCCTAGTTCCCACAGAGGCACTGGGTGGGTTTGAACCTCCGGACATTTTCTCATCACTTACACCTTTACCCATTGCCACCCTAGGGCTCCTTTTCCTGTCATTTGGCGGATGCATTTCTTTCCCTTGACTTATACATGACTGCATACCTTTGCACTTGCAGAATCTTGAAAGCTTAAATAATTAGGAGGCAGGCTTGTTGCTACTGGGATATTATACTCCTGGGAAGTTATCTGATCATGCCTCTTCAGAGGAAGCCAAGCATATCCGACTACAAAGGAACACGCAAGAGAAAGCTTCTGATTACCGGCCTGCATGCTAAGCAGCAAAAATACAGTTGGCTGTCATTGATGTATATAGTACACTTCACCCTTCCCCGACCCACCGCCACGCACAATCTATTTCATAAGCCAGAGTGCTTCAAAACGCTCTCCCATGCAATCCAAACAATGACAGGGACAGGTACTTCAGATGCTGCCCCCCAATACCTGATGTTTCCAGAGCTCCCTTCTTTTTGGCATTAGCTTTGGCATTGATGTCGCAGGTGACATGATAGAAAGAAAACAAAATATGGTGTTTCTCATGTAGCTGTGTTGGTAGCTCAATTTTCACCTGCAAGGAAAGACAGGTTCACAGCTCAGACGAAAACCATTTGCCCAGGGTCAGGGCATAGAATCTTAATGGAAACCCAGCCACCGGTGATTTCTGATAACATCTCCAGAGGAAGTGAATTCACATCTTGTTGTTCTCACACCTCAGGAATATTCAAGTCGTCTGCAATGTTGTTCCCTTAGTATGCCGACCTTTAATTCGATTTAAAGTGATTTAGGTGTAGAAAGGTGTGATGGACAGGCTAACGCTCCTTCCAGCCTCCATCTGCTTCCCTGTCTCTGACAAAACAATAGATGCCCACATCCCGTTCCTCAGACCTGTGACTTTGTTATGTTCCACAGTAAAATGGACTTTGCTGGTGTGAAGAAGTGAAGGGTCTTGAGATGGGGAGGTCATCCTGGACTATCTGGGTGGGCAAAACGTAATCACAGAACCCTTCCGAAAGAGAAGCAAACATGTCAGAGAAGAGATGTAAGGAAGACAGAAGCTAAACTTTGAAAGGCACAATTCCTGGGAGGGGGCCACGAGCCAAGGAATGCAGGCAAACGCTAGAAGCTGGTCGTGGCCAGCAAACGGAGCCTCCCCTAGAGTCTCCAGGAACCAGCCAACCTAGGACCCCTTGATGTTAGCCCACTGAGATTCATTTCGTATTTCTGATCTCCAGAACTGTACAGAAGTAAATGTGTGTTGTTTCACATCACTATGTTGTGGTTATTTATTCCTGGATCAACAGGGAACAAAGACAAAGAAGTGTGACCTCCTAACTCTCACTATCATGTCAGCAAAGCTCATGTTGTCTTATTTAGGTGGCCAACGCCTTTCAATGTGGCTCTTCCTTGGGCTGCGTTAGCTCAGACTTTGTTTTATTTAAAAAAAAATTTTTTTTACTTTGTTTTAAATGTAAGCATGAAATGTAATCACTGTAGCTTGCTGGTCTAAAGCTGTTGGTAACAGCTAATTTGGATGCAGCAAATATCACTGACCCACTGATTTTTTCAATATAGTTATAGAATAATGGTGGAACTTCAGGCATCACATGGACTGAGTTTAAATCCTCACAGCCCTGGCATGCGTCCTTGGCAGAGCCTATTGTTTGTCCTCTCTGAGCCTCAGTCCCTCATCCTTAACAGGAAGATCATAATGGTCACTAACATAGAGAAGTGCTGTGGAGATCATGCCTGTATGCAATGTAGCGTGGTGCACAGTGCAATACCAATAAGAGAATACTGAGAATTAGCCAAGGCAGGTCTGGCCCCATGCCCACTTAGATACGGTGGCCCAGGAACACTCAAGCTCATGAAGTGTTACTTACTGGAGATGGCACATACTTTGTTATTACCATTACAACATAAAATGAGGCCATAGATTGGTTAAAGCTGAGTAACATATTCTTGATTGCACTGACTAGTGAAATAGAAGGAACAAGTAGTCTCACCTGAAGAGAAGGGTATATGAGAACCCCTACTGGAACCCTGGTGGGTATAATGGATTACAAGTTGGTTTGCTAACCACAAGGTTAGTAGTTCAAAAACACTAGCTACTGTCTCCTCCAGGAAAGAGTTCCGGCCACTGAAACCCACAGGGCCAGTTCTACTCTGTCTTAAAGGGTCGCTATGAGTCAGAATCAACATCATGACAATGACTTTTAGGTTTAAAAATTTTAAAAATAAATAGAATCCATTTCCATTGAGCCAATTCTAACTGATAGCAAACCGGAGAGGACGCAATAGGGCTCTCCTTATGGGTTGCAAGGCTGAATGTATCTGTGAGCAGACAGACTGGGCTTTCTCCCATGGATATAAAGGAAACATTTACATCTTCAAAGCTCAATCCTGTGCTGAAGGACACAAAGTAGCACCCTACTTTTGAAGTATATCCAGTAATATAGTTCCTAAATCTCAGTTCAATAAACACAAGTCAAAGCATGTCTTCAACCTGAGATGTGGTCATTGCGCATAACCTAACCCATTCACAGACCTGCTTTTTTTTTTTTTAAAAAATCATTTTATTGGGGGCTCGTATAACTCTTATCACCATCCATCCATCCATCCATCCATCCATCCATCCATCCATCCATCCATCCATCCATCCATTGTGTATCAAGCACATGTGTTGCCCTTATCATTCTCAAAACATATGCTTTCTACTTGAGCCCTTTTTAAGAGCTGCTGCTGGCAGAGGGGGCCTGCCCTTCCTTACCTCATCCAAGAAGTCTGGGTTCTGTGAATGATGCAGCACTGCTGTGTAGGCTGCCGAAGTGAAGAGGGGCCCTCCGGGTTTTCCATAAATGCACTATTTTAAAAAGTGACGAGGTGAACCATTAGGAGCAATTTTTAACTAAACACACACACATAACCCCTCCTCTCCCCCAAACTCACCAACCCTCAGTTCTCACCACAGAGCAAAGGAGCATTGCGTGATAATTTGCCAGATTCCCCTTGAGCTTCTATCCCCTTGGCCTACTACCCCATATTTGTGGGAACCCTAGGAGCACACTGGTTAAGCGCTTGGCTGTTAACAGAAAAGTGGGCAGTGTGAACTCACCAGCCAAGAGACAGATGCGTCAGTCAGCTTCTGTAATGACAGACAGGCTTGGAAGGCCTGTGGGAGAGTTCTGTTCTCCCTGGAGGGTCACTGCGAGTCAAGCACGACTCAAAGGCAATGTCTTTAAAAAAACTTGTAGCTATTTTCATCCTCTATCTACTACACACGGATACTTGGCTGAAGACCATTTGAAAGAATTAATTCATCAGTTAGATGCTATATCAATACCTGAACCGACTCATTGTCGGGGTGTTCAGCGCTGTTGTGGTTGGTTGTTGGGGAGTCTGCCCCCATTTATGGTGCTGCCATGTGCAATGGAATGAAATGCTGCCCAATCTTGTGTCATCCACAGAGTGGATGATGGATCAAATGTTGCTGCCACTGTCTGGTTTGGGACCCTACACCAAGTCTGCCTTTTGGGGAAGGTCCCCTGCATCCTGTTCAGCAGCAGAAAACCCTCTGTCCCCCCACCCTCCAGCCTTCACCCACAGAGGTGGTAGAAGGCACATTGGCCAGGAATTGAACACAGGTCTTGTCCATGGGGAGGTTGCCGGCAGGCCAACTATTTGCCTCATAACCTTTCACTTCAGGTGAGGCAAACGCTGTTGCGGAAGGACCCCTGTGTGCTGTGCGGTGCTACTGACCCACCAGCAGCTGTGAGGGAGAGATGAGGAAGACTGCTCTCTTAAAGTCAATTTCAGAAACCCGTGTAACAGGGTCACTCTGTGTCTGAATCGGCTGAATGCCAGATGGTGTGGGTTTTAGTGTTTTGTAGAACTTGACACCCGTGGCTGTGCAAAGCAGCTCAAGGCCACTTAAAATAGCTCTCTGTCCTCTGCACGATATATGTGATAATTCTTAAATTGATTACCGTTCTACGGAGTAGTCCAACTAACATCTCGGGCATAAAATCAGAATAATTGGGACACAAGAGAGTGCTTTAAGAAATTAACTCAGAGACTGTTGGCAGCTAGTCAGAAATTGTTCTTGTGCTTTATTATCTAGTTCCTTGGCTTGATCCAAACTGAGAAGTGCACGCCAGTAGCCTAATAAAAATAATCTCTCCCTCCTGTGTTTTTTTAGTTACAATGTTGACGTCATTGTTGCTGCTCCGTGCCATGGAGTCAGCTGACCCAGCGACCCTCTGGAAACAGTCTTGTGCCATCCTCACAACTGTTCCTGTGCTCGCAGCCACTGGGCCAATCCGTCTCCCCAAGGGCCTTCCTGGTTGCCACTGTCCACGTCCGCATGACCAAGCATGAGGCTCTTCTCTGTCACTTGTCGGTCAGTCTGTCCTGCTGCGGTGGCTTGTGTGCTGCTGGGATGCCGGAGGCTAGGTCACTGGTATTTCAAATGCCAGCAGGGCCACCCAACGTGAACAGGTTGCAGCAGAGCTTCCACATGAGAACGGACTACAAAGAAACGGGCTCCCCACTGCAGAGGACGTGGTCCTGGGAAACCAGTGCATTTGGAGAAGAGGAAAGGCCAGGAGCCGATGGGAAAAGAAAGTGGCCTAAAACGAGACTGATACGCAAGTAAGTGCCAGAGTGTCACACAACTCACGACAAACGCTGGATTTCATCCCAGGAGAAAGTGGATGTCTTGAGAGTATATATGTAAAAAAAACATTTGATATTCTTCTTTGAGCTCTGGTGTTGGTGAAGAATACCAAAAGTACCATGGACTGCCAAGAGAACAAACAGATTTGTCCCGGCAGAAGTCCAGCCAAAGAAGTCCTTAAAGCCAAGGACGGCGAGACTCATCTTATGTACACTTTAGACGTGCTGTCGGGAGAGATGGCTCCTGAGAGAAGCACATCACGCTTGGTAAAGTAGTGGGGCCGCAGAACAGAGGAAGACCCTCAGGGGGATAGCACGGCACAGTGGCTGCAACAAAGGACTCACACAATGTCCAGGCTGGCCCAGGATGGGGAGGGGTCTTGTTCTGTTATGCCTGGGTGGCGGTTAATTGGAACTGACTCGATGGCTCGTCACACCAACTAATAAAACCAAACCCACTGCCATCAGATTGATGCTGAACCCTATAGCCCCTAGAGGACAGGGTTGAGGCCCTAGCGAGTGTCAGAGACTTGAGCTCTTCACAGGAGTAGGAAGCCCCTCTTTCTCCCTCGGGAGGGCTGGGCGTTTTGAGCTGCTGACCTGGCAGTGGTCGGTCCAGCGGGTGACCCCTACGTCACTAGGAAAAGGACATCCGGCTTGGAACAGCCGCAGGGCAATGCAAAGAGGAAGGCCCTTGATGGGAAAATTGACAGGGAGGCTGCAACAGTGGACTCCAACATGCGGGACACCGTGAGGCCGAGGAGGGAGCCGTTATGCTCTTTTGAACATAGGAGAGCTTTGGTCAACATTCACTTGAAGGCACCTACCAACAATAGCATCAGCTATGAACCCCACAACGCGGCATCCATTTGCAGTTTTATAGGTTACAGCCCCAGAGTGCAAACAAACCTCGGCGTTTTCCTGATCTTATGGAATCTTGTGGTCAACAGCACACTGGTTTTCCTGTGCCTCAAGCAGCAGGCACCAACACCTTCCATCAATGCCCTTGTCCTTCAAGTCCACTGCATTGCCCCGGGGTCAGGGCAGCCCTGGGCATGGCACACAGGAGAGCCAGCCAGGAAGGTGGCCTCTGACACGGAGATGTGCTAGTCTAGGACAAGGGCAAGGTCCTCCATGCTAGATCTGTTTATTCACTCCGGCGTTCCATTTTTCTACCCCATAATGAGATATGAAGCAGAACTGTGGGACGGGCATTTCTAATCAAGCTAGGTAAGGATGCCTATTAAATCAGGTATCCTCCGGAATATCTCAAACAAATGAATGCGATACCATGATACCATGTCAACCACAGTGACAGGAAATAAAAAGCTCCCCCCACCCCCCCATGGTGGGACTTCTTCCCACTCTCCTGCTGCGTCCCGAAGCTGACTTGGCTCACCTTCACTGGAGTGGCACCATCCTCATCGGAGTTTTTAAATTCAACGCACACTGTGATATTCCGTGCCTGCCATTGCAGTGGGGGAAATGGGAATTATAATTGTCAGTTAAGTGACAGTAGGCAAAACAAACCCCCCAACACCTTAGTGTCTAAAATAAGTAGTTAGTATCTCATTAAATCAGAAAGGGGGGGTGGGAAAGGAGAATATTCCCATTTCTCACAACATTATTTGTAGTGCTTTGAAGGAGCAGAAAGACACGAGATGAATACTTGTCTCAAAGGCAGAACAAGTGCATTTTGAGAGGGACAAGTCTGCTATTTGCAGACCCTATTCAGAAACTCCAGAAGAAAGGGTTGAAAACAAAAAGACTGGGGGCAGAATTGAGACAGAAATACCAAGAGGCTTCAGACCCGGGTGTCTTCTGACATGTCTACAGTGAAGCTCATCCAGCCCCTTGACAAGTGTTGTTTGTTCGTATTCCCCAAAGGTTTTCTGTTCTACAGCAGTGGCTATAGCTGTTTCCCTTTCCCCTCTTAAGAAGCCATCTCATGCGATTCAGTTGTGGCAAAGGGCGATGGGGATCCCGTACCTTGTTGAAGCATTTCTGGCTATCATACTTGAGGTGCCTGGGGTAAATGTAGATTTGGTTTTTGTAGACTCTATAAGGACGGCAGCACTTGGTTGTGTCGTAAACAAATTCTTCCACCTCCAGCGTGGGTTCAGGCTGAGCTGTCACATCGAAAGGCTTGACAGGGATAAAGGATGATGTCACACAGTCTTTAAAAAAAAAATCAGGAAATAAAAGTTTGTCATCCAAAAGTGTTCCATTTGTAACCACCAATGCTTAGCCTATTTAAAAATTAACCCAATCAAAATGAAATGATTCGATATCAACTCATGGGCTTAACCCAAAGTAAGCCCAAAGCTGGGCTTAACCCAAAGTAATCCCAGGAAACCTCAAAACTATGGTAGCATGCGCCATTCATAAGATTGTGGATCTGGAATGTATTGTATTGAAAATCAAAACTGATATCCCAAGAAAAGGATACATCTTGTAGATGATTTTAGAACTAGCTTGTCTCAACTTTCCAAGAAAATATAATTTTAGCTAATCATCCCCTGAACATACTAACCAGATACTATACAATGGGGATTAACCTACTGACACTTGCAGTATAATGCAGATATAAATATACAGTCAGACAAAACTTTATCTGTCATTGATAACTACAAAATGGCTTCATAGTAAGTTCCTAAGGAAATAATTTCACAGCATAAGATTGAAGTACACGTGTTATTGAACATAAAGTATTTTGCTTTTGTCTTTGGATTTTATAAACCGTTAAAATTTATCAATA